GATTCTACAGATTGTTTATTCTTTGAATCTAAATGAAAAGCCTCAGAAGATAGCAAGGATGAGAGATTATCCATAGTAATAACCTCTGGTCAAGCGCGCATTGTGGTGGAAAAAACATCATACTCTAAAAGAAGACCATTCAGAGTAATGAGGACCAGATCCTCATCATCAATGATAACAAAGGCCAAAGCTAACTGACTAACTATGACCTTGATTTTGGACAGATATTCTTCCATTGTATCTGATTTCTTAGCAACACTATTCAGTTCAGTTGATTCTATAGATTGTTTATTCTTTGAATCTAAATGAAAAGCCTCAGAAGATAGCAAGGATGAGAGATTATCCATAGTAATAACCTCTGGTCAAGCGCGAATTGTGGTGGAAAAAACATCATACTCTAAAAGAAGACCATTCAGAGTAATGAGGACCAGATCCTCATCATCAATGATAACAAAGGCCAAAGCTAACTGACTAACTATGACCTTGATTTTGGACAGATATTCTTCCATTGTATCTGATTTCTTAGCAACACTATTCAGTTTATTTTTTAATTGATGAACACGTGAACGAAATAAAGTCGTAAATCGCTTTCGTAGAGATGCCCATATCTCTGAACAGTGATGAAATTACAGAACAGATGCACAGATCGATGGTGTAAGAGTTACAGTGATGCAACTTAACAGATGTGCATCAATCATAGTCCATTGAAGAAATTCGGGATTAGGCACTGAACTCCCTGTTGAATTAATGATTGTAGATGAAGGATATGTGATTGAGCCATCAACATAACCAAGAAGATTGGTGGCTCGAAGAACATTGGAGAGCTGAGATTGCCAGATGATGAAATTTGTTCCATCAAGCTTGACTGTAACCAAGGATGACAGATTAGAGATCAGTAAAGTCAGATTCGAAGGAAGAGAAGAAGAGAGTGATGATGTCATGGATCAGTTGCTCGATAGAGCTTCAATGGCTTTGATACCATAAAGAAGTTTTGTAATCAAATCTCTTTCATTCTCAATGAATATAAAATACATACATCACTTATACTTATATACAATATAACAACTCTAACAAGCTAACAACCACTACAACTAACTCCTAATTAATTCTACAAAATATATTTTCAAAATATCTAAGCTGATAGCTAAGGTTGAAGCTGTGGTAAGAGCTGTAGCTTGGAGCTGCGATTGGCACATGAGCTAGCTGAGCTAGAGCCAAAGCTAGCTGGTAATGTATCTTCAACAATTTTGTCCTAATATCAAATTACAGATTTATCATCTCTACTCTCTCAAATCCTAACCCTAACTTACCCTACTCTCATTCTGACTGGCAACCTTTGCTATTATCCTTCAACTCCTGTCGCCATTGCCACTACCCATACTCACTAGCCGCCAACGCTCCACTACCCACGCCACTTTTGGACTATTCTCCACCACCTCTAAGCTTTGGTGATCCTTCTAAATCCATCTACATCCACCACTACGACTTTCATCGCCATCTCCACCCACCTCGCTTTCTCTCCCTCTCTCTTGCAAGCAAGATCTCAATCGCAACCATAGAAGATCAGTGATGGTAGTGACCTATTTCAAATGAAGAGAAATCGAACATGAGCATGGTGGAGAAGGGCTCTAGGGTAGTCGTGTGGGTAGTGGCAACAACCAATGGCTAAGATTGGTGGAATGAGAGATTTTGGGTGAAAAAAATGAGGTAGGGAGGGTTGTTTGTTTGTTGGGGGAGGGTCTAAAATAATTATTGGGTGCTATTAGTAACACTCTTTAATGAGGTTTTTTTTTTATTCTTTCAAATTTTGTTTTTACCATTGATTGTACTTTTATGCAATATATATGTTGTATGAGGCCGTCTTTTGTGCAGGGCCTCGCCACCTCCACCCACCAATCAACTGAACTTCGGCCATCCTTCCATGGCCTCTAGTGACATCTAAGCCTCTAGCCAGCGTTTAGCGACTTCTGGTATCTTCTAGTCAGTAATTTTTAGTGATTTGTTGGCACTTCGGCCATCACCCCTGATTGCCACCACTAGCCACACTTCATTGCCAATCACCTTGGACCAAAAACACTATGTTATCAAATCATCCCTAAGTAAATGAACCAAGTTTAAATGAGTACTCCGGTTGTTAATAAAATGTAGGGTGTGGCCATTGTCCAAGTTGGACTTTCACTACTTAAATATGGGAATTTGTGCATGCTCAAGCCTATAGCAAAACCCACGTCGAGTCCTAAAGAAAATGTAAGTTCCATGCCCACAAATGGGCCTCCAAATATGTAAGCAATATCGAAGCTAGTTTCTAAAAAAGACGTTAAAAATGATACAATTTAACATTTTGACATCCATTAAAAATATTGCACTAATTAAACAAAAATCCCGTCAGCCTATTATAACACTCGAGTAATTAAAATATTACAGTACTTAAGTTTTTGAAATCAAACAAAATAAAACTAAATCATCCGTGGTTCATTACTTTTTTGAATTTCTTCAACCAAGCAGTGGGCAATTGGCCATCTCTCTCAAAAAAAAAAAAATTTGTTGTTGCTAAAATAACCTATTTCATTCACCCCTCCCCCAAAAAAAAATTGGCCATCTCAATTTTTCCAGCGTGCCGGTGGACACTCACAAATCACAAACAACTTATATACTAAATAAATTACTGGAAATTTTATTTTCAGCTCTCTTTCATCATTAGTTTTTAATAGTTTAAGGACATAAGAAAAGAAAAAAAAATTAGTTCAAGTCCTCTAAGACTTACAACATCATTTTTGAACCAAAGTACTCCAGCACTAATAGTTTGTTAGGGATCTTTGGAATGATTTTAAAATTTTAAAATTCAATAACTTTTTATTTACATATCCGTTTTTCATAAAATTTATATTTTTATAATTCTCTCATTAAGATCTATCAAATAAGATTCATAATGAATATGAAATTAAAAAAAAATAAATAAATAAATAAAATTTAACTGATCCAAGTTAGAGAAATTTCACTAAAATTTGTAATTAACTTTAAGTTTCACTGACAAAATGCTTATTTTTTCTCAAGGAAATTTTAGAATTGCTCAGAGAAATTTCTAAATTATTTATTTTCTCTCAGAGAAATTTCAAAAATTAAACAATTGAGAAGTCAGTGAAATTTCTTTGATTTTTAGTCAAAAACTCAGTAAATTTTTATTTTATTTTTTTCAAAATTTCATATTCATCATGAATCTTATTTGATAGATATCGACAAGATGATTCCAAAAAAATAAATTTTACAAGGGTAAATTACATTTTGCACCCCTATACTTGGAATCAAAATTTCACTTTGGTCCCTACACATAAAATCGTGACAGTTAAGCCCCTGTACTTTTGGTTAAATCCCACTTTGGTCCCTATGTATAAAATCGTGACAATCAACTCCTTGCACTTCTAGTCAAGTGTCAACTTGCCTCTTCTATTAATCCATTGTTTAAGTTTTTAACAAAATAAGGACAATAGAGAAAAATTATTCTTATTTCCCACCAGTATACACATTACTGTACGTGATAAACATGTGAGAGTTATATAATATATATGTGTGTGTGGGGGTGTGTGTGTTCATATGCTAAAAATTAGAACAAAGAGGTAATAAAATAGAGCTTTTGAAATAATAATAATAATAAAAAAGCAACAGAGAAATCAAAGATTTTGTTGCTGTGGAAAATAGAGTTTTATTATTTTAATTTTTGCAAAATTCTAGTTCATCTCTTTAATTGTTTACAATTTACATTTTGTTTTAGTTTAATACAATCAAGACTTGTATGATGGAGTAACAAAAGGGAGAAGTTGACACTTGACTAGAAGTGCAAGAAGTTGATTGTCACGATCTCATAAATGCATGGAGTTAACTGTCACGATTTCATATATAAGGAACAAAGTGAGATTTGACAAAAAATGTAAATGGTTGACTTTGACTGTCCCAATTTCATATGTAGAGACCAAAGTAAGATTTGGTGAAAAATGCAAGAGTGCAAAGTGTAATTTACCCATTTTACAAATATGGAGTTTCATATCAAAAGTTATTAAATTTTAAAGTTTTCAAACACATTCCAAAATAAACTTGTAAACAGTGAAGAGAGAAAGCATTATAATTTCATGATACCAATTGTTAAAAGAGCATTCTTGACATTTATGTTAAAATTTATACTTATCTTTATGAAAATTCAAATCGTAGAGACTTTGACTACCAAACAAATTGTAATTGTCCTTAAATTCTTACCAAAATATGTAAAGAGATCCCTCTCTAATTTTTCCTAAAGTATTTAGATATTTTCTAATGTATTACGTAAATAAATAATAATAAAATAAAGGTCCAGTAGGACCAGACCGGACTACAATTTCAAATTCCAGACCCAACCTATTAATGTAACTTGCTTAGAATATTAGCCAAGCCCAGCCATTTCAGATTAAGATCCCGTTTCCAACCCTTGAAAAAGTATAATTGAGCAAAGTGGCCCAATGCCCACCCGTCATAAAATGAAACACAATCTGAACACCAATTTAAATAGTATTTGGTGTACTCAAATATAATAGAAAGGAATAATCATTTCGTCAAAATGTTCATTTTTACATTTGAATAATTAAAGAAATAATAAAAAATACGTTATAAATGAAATCAATATTATTCAGCATTATTCAATCTTATTCAAGTAAACTAAATAAAGATAATTCACTCGTTGACTTCACCTACTAAGCGTGGACTGGATGTATGGACAAGAGGCCTACTTCACAAGTACTTCCTAACATGCATTTTTTGATCTTCACAACAAAGAAAAAGACTTAATGACATCTCAATTCAGAAAAAACCTACCCCAGATTTAGATTTCCAAATACCAAATTGAACCATACTAATCCTCATATATCACATAAACATGCATTAAATGAGGACAGTAGCTCCATCAATCAATGTACATATACATAGCATTTATTTGTGAGCCATTCTAGCACAGTCGCGCATAGCCATCCGAAAAATAAGATAAAATGACAACAATCCTTGTCAAACAATATTTCTTAGCTGCAGCAAAATCATACCCAGTTCCCAATAACACACAAGTAAAGTAGTTAAGTTGCATGCAATTAGAACCATATCAAAACCTCAAACCTCAACAACTTCTACGGAAGAATAGATAGACTTGCAAATTTCAAGGGATTATAAAGGTGGGGAAAAAAGTAGTAGCCAAATGAGTTTGTAGTATGCAAAATTACAACCATGTGCTGAACGCAAATAAGATGATCTGTCATCACAAAATGTCCAAGCAATGAACTCTATCAACCACCTGTCGTTCGACCTCTATCATACTGGAAAAATTCCTCATAGAAGATATCCACTGTCCTCTAATCTTAAAGTCAGATGCTTCAAGAGAAGTACAAAATGGGTGTATAGCATATATGAGCCGGTTGTTATCAAGAAGCACATTCTTAATGTGATGAGGCTTGAAAGAGAGACACCAATATCACACAGATGCATTGCCAGCTTGCAGAAGTTCCTGTAAGCAAGTCACTGCACTGTCGTAGTTTAGGAAGCCCATATACCAAAATTCGTGGTTATCGACGGATATAACCTGGATGTATTTTTCAGCATGATTAGCTCTGCTTGATGAAGGATTAACTGCTTTAAGCTGATGTAATGGGATGACAACCTATTTCAATTAAAGAAGTAAGCAGATATAGTGTCAGTACATACAGCAGTATATCAAAAAATTTAAGTTCATTTAATAAAGAAGAGACAATGAACAGATACTAACATCTATGAAAATATCTATGCAAACACATCAATTTATGGGGATAATAATGGAAATTTTCTGTTAAATTTCATAATGGTGGTGGAAAGAATAGCAAAGAAAACTTTATTCGAAAGCATTAACTTGGAATCACGTTACTATAATGACTAATAGAATGATGAACCAAAATGTCACTGGGACCTATCATTGAGAAATGAATAGGAATTCTCATTAGCAATTGACCGACCTGGCAACCCACAATCATATGCTTCAACCTGCACTGCATTGGGGGCCAGGTTACACTTGGGTTTAAGGTGGCAATTACTCATTGTGGTTGGGGTCAAACAGTAGAAAATTGTCTTGAGAATCGATATGCTTAGTTATAAGCATTTACATAACTACTTTCAATACGAAAAATTTTAATTTAAAGAGTAGGGCTCCATTTGTTTCTATGTAAACTGTTTTACATCGAAACATAATTTTTTTATGTAAAATGATTTTGCACAATATTTTTTTTTGTAGTTATTTTCAAAATTTCGGTGTTTGGTTAACCTTGAATATGTTTTTCATAACAAAATGCTTTTGAAGCATACTGCTCTATATTTGCCAAAGAGAGAGAAAACTCTCCCAATGTCAAAAAACAAACCCAAAATCCAATGATGGTCTGCGCACAAACCATGGTTGGTACTCTTTAGAGAACTAAAAAATAAAGGGAACTACAAAAATCAAATTAGGCATGAAAGAACCAAACTCAAATCAATTGAGTATCAAAGAAAAAAATCAGATCTATGGAGAAATGCACCGTGTTTGAACAATTGATCTGAAAATCAGTTTAAAGGATCTCATGATTTGTTGTTTGATACTTCGAACAGAATACGAGTGAAATAGAGTACAACTGATCTGAAAATCAGTTTAAAGGATCTCATGATTCGTTGTTTGACACTTCAAACAAAATATGAGTGAAATAGAGTACAAACCCTGGAGTAATAGAGTTCCATTGCTCTACCCTAGCACACACCATTGGAATCTGAAAATTGCCGCTAGGTACTGATGTGCTGATGTCCTCCTTCATACAATGATGTCAGCGTGACATAGCGTTAGTACCAGACGCTATGATCAGGCAAATACATCATCTGATTCGTCTTGCCCTCCGAATAATACAGTAATATTTGTGGAATTTTTTTGAAGTCTAACAACGCGAGTTTCCATTTTCAGTATTTTGTCACTCCCCCCCTTCAATCTTCTTGTTGGGGCCTTCTTTTGTGTTTGCAATTGTTGGGTTCTATTACATGGGTGGTGCCGAATATAGGTCTCCCATTATTTGTTGATTTTTTTTCTTATTTTGGTTGTTGATTTTGAAGTGTCCCTATGCTTTTTTTTTCTTTTTTGTTTTTGCACTGTTGGCAATTAGGGCTCTTCGTCAATGTTCACAAAAGTTTGTATTTCCTTCTATCTGCTGTTGTTTGATGCTGCTTAGTTGTTTGTCCAATAGTTTATTTGTTGATGTTGTTTGATTCTGGTTGTTGATTTCGAAGTGTCCCTACGCCTTTTTTTGCACTGTCGGCAATTAGGGCTCTTTGTCTAAGTTCAAGAAAGTTTTTTATTTCCTTCTACTTGCTGTTGTTTGATGCTTCTTAGTCGTTTGTCCAAGCTACATAGTTTTTCCTTTGTTTTTGTTCTACCTTTATTGTTTTGCTATGATTGAGGTAAATCCCTCCTTACTCAAAGATGTTCATTTGCCTAAATTGATTAGCACAAAGAAATCAAATGGTTTGAATTACTTGGCTGGGGCACATGTCGTTAAGGTTTTTTAACGTAGGAAAAAGAAACTAAAATTTATTACAGAGCTTCCTCCATAAAAACTTCTACTTGTGTCGATTGGTTGAGTAAAATTGTAATGGGATGGCTCTGGCATAGTTTGGAACCCTATATTGTGACTACCATTGAGTTTTGGGAGACTTCTAAGCATATTTGGGATTTTCTTGCTCAATCATTTTCACATCAAAGTAACGTTTCTCAAGTGTATAAGTTGTATGAGAAGATTTTTACCACTACACAGTCTGGACGACCATTGTCTATTATAGTAGTAAAACAACGCCAATTAGTACACAATAATGCTCTAAAAAAATTATGAGATCAATTATTGCAGCATAGGACCTTTACTAATAATTTGGACCAACATAAATCACATTGGGAGGAGTTTATGATTGCATATTTCTTTCTAGGTTAAATTCAGACTTGTGAGGTTAAAAAGATCAAATTCTTGCTAGTGAGACTTTACCCACAGCTACTAATGCCTGTTCTTGTTTATTGTGTTCCTCATTAGAACAGAGCTCCACTATGAGTGGCTTCTCTACCTCTTCAGTAGCCTTTTCTGCTTTAGTATCCCATGGTGATTTTTGTGGTGGATACGGTAATCATGGCTCTCATAGTCATTCTCGTGGAGATGGTTCTCGTTGTAGTGGGTTTTCGTAGAGGTAGTTCTCAAGGTGGTGGTTCAGGTGCATGTGATAATAGGAAGTGTGATCATTGTGGTTCCACTAGTCATACTGATCATAGTGTTGGCTAAAGTATGGGAAGCCAGATTATGTGCATCAGGTTATCAATGAAAAGGCAATAAAGAACAAGTACATTTAAAAAATGAATGTAATTGAATTAAGAATATTGAGATAGATGAGTGGTTTTACAAGAAAAGAAAAAATAATAAATGAATGTAAAAGGAAAAGATTAGAAGTGGCATCAATTGAGCATAAAATTAATGAAAATCATCTAAGATGGTATAGACATATAAATTATACAACAGTTAATGCACTTATAAAAAGGTATAATTTGATCCACATAAAGAGTGGTAATATAAATATAGGAAGGCCAAACAGAACATGTGTGAAGTGATACTGGTTAACTTAAACATAACTTCGGATAAGACTTCTGACAATATAAATGATGTTTGAAAATAATCAAAACCCTGAAACTTCATTGTGGAAATTGGAGGGTTGAGCAAAACAACGTATTAACTAGAGGAAATGATCCATGTAGCCATGCCACACAATTGAGATAATGAATCAACAACATAGTAGCTTAAATAAACTATAAAAAAAAAATAAACAAATAAAAAATACAAGATTTGAATTGATTCAAAATGTCTTTATGTAAGTTCTCAAGTGGGTGAATGTTAAAATGGGCCAATTTTCAACATTTGTCACTTCTTCAACTTATTTTTCCTTAAGCTTCTTATCCCTGCATCACAAACTCGGATAGAACAATGGGTGACCCTTCATTCCCTTCCTGTGACACTTCCACATAGGCTGAAATTGGCAATCTTGTATTTTACATATAACTAGAACAAACAGTTTTTAAGAGGAATCACCAAATTTAGGAGTCTTTAGCCTGTGTAAAGACAAAGCTTCTAATACCCACCAAACTCCTCCCCTGGTAAGATTTTCTTATTAAGCTCGCAAATATGTTAAATTTATGGATGGTAGCTGAGACTAAGCATATGAAGTGTGATCAGGATTAGACAAAACACACAACATGCTAGGAAAGAAATAAAAAAAAAGGAAACAAATACCAGAATAGTCACTTTCTGATTCGTGGAGCACACCCTCACAACAGCCCAGCCACGAATTACTACCAAGTTCGAGTTTCACTCTACAACAACCATACTAAATGTTTTCCCCAACGCATAACAATGGAGAAACACTTGCACAACTTTGGTACACTGAGAGAATGGTATCAAGAACATTTCTATTATCAAGAAAACACCAATTAACTTGTCTTCAATTAACAAGAGTCCCAATATAAGTCGGAATTAGGTCAAAATAACATACACATGTCAAAACAGAACAAAATTGAAATGGATGCGAGGTTCAATATTGTGCTGGAACATGTAAACTGGTGAATCATGAGCGTAGCCCAAGATTACATCTGTCAAGATTGTATTTTATTTAGCTTTATTTAGTTTGAGGGTAGTTTAGTCATTATTAATATATTAGGTTTCATTATTTGTTAGACTTCTTTGTAATATTTTCATTAATTTTGATACTACAATAATTTTTTTTTTTTTTTTCCCTCCCAAAACTTTGTTAACCAAAGAAAAATCCCTAGTCGTCAGAATCGCCTTTGTTGTCTTCAGAACAATTGACTTTGTCAGGCCTCATCAAATCTCATTGGCTTCTTTCTCTATTTTGGTTAAACACTCTAGTTTGGTTAAACAACATAGAAACAGCAATCGTCATCTTCGAACTTTATCAGTCGTCGCATTCTCTCTCCATCTTCAAATCTCTCAGTATTCGCCACTTAGACCCACAACCACTTAAAATCGTTACACACCCACAATCGTTGTATTAGACCAATCTCTCTCTCTCTCTCCTCATTGCTCTGCCCTGAATTTGTTCTCTCTGGTTATTGCATTTTCCGCACATCACATCTTTGTTCATAAGTTTGTCAAAGTACTTTCTCTCTTCCATTGCTCTATTCTGAGTCTGTTCTCTCTGGTTATTGTTCTCTCTTCCATCACATCATATCCAAGAAAGGGTTTGAACCGACCAAGAATTATTGACCCAATCCACTTTCCTTTCACTGTGTTGCAACACTTTTTTTTTTTTTTTTGTTTCTTTTATGTGCATCATTTCTGCTTGTTTGAGGTAGACTAGACCCACTTTGTTTAAGATATCTGTCTTGTGCATCATTATGCACCATTATTTGTTTGAGGTATCACTCAAGGCTAGTGGAACATGAGATTCTCTTCAAGCAATTAGTGTGAAGTTGGTAGGTGACAACTACACTTATTGTGCATATGTGATGAAAAAAAAAAAAAAATTCACAGTAAAAAGGTACGCTATTATGTTTCCAGTGATGCTCCAATACCCAACTGAAAAAAGGTTGACAATTTCAAAAACTTAATTTCTACTTGGCAAATC